AACGTGTTATTTTCACACTTGAAATTTAACAAATTGCGCATTGTTTGAGTTGCAGGTCCTCTTAATAATAAATTCTTGACGTCATAAAATGCTCAAAACTCAAGTGGACACACGAGCGCAGCGAGAGTTTATCAATAAGAAGACGTACAACGAAAAATGACATGTGTAATTTGTTTCTTTTTTCGCATTTTAGCAATAAAAACGATTGAAGATGAAGAAATGCTTCCTAGATAAGTGTATGTTGAATGAAAGAAAGCGTACCTTACTTGCACATAAGTAAGGGCCGTAAAATCGGTACTGAAATAAAGACGCGGTTATTAAGTTTCAATCTGAATTGAACTGTTAAAACAGCTCAATTCGTTGTGCTATCTGGACGGCCTTATCGACCCATGAAAAGGCTTTATCGAGTTCAATTAGAAGCTCCCTTTCTAAAAATCTATAAACTGCAACTTATTCATCGAAATTGTTTCCTGTCTCCTTGTACAAAGTGCGACTGGACCTTAACCCTTCGCCAAGCGAAGGAATAAGGTCTGGGAACGAGGTTGAAGGTGCGCATGCCTCCCTAGCTTTGATGCGCATAGCCAATGCGCGTTGAAATTGAAATGCTCTCTTTTTAATCGGGATCAGTCCTTTGATTTCTTATTAATAGTAGAAGCAACCAGTCAATCGCTGCGAAACTTCTCCAAAATCACAAGTACCATTAAACAAAGGATTCAAAATACCCAGAATTCTCTCATGCATTTGAATGATCTCTTGACCCTACTACCCACAATCCTTTTAGAAAAGTGTTTGCGAACCGGAGTTTTTGAAGCGATGGAACGAAGAACTACATATTGACTGGGAAAAAAGAAAAAGTTAAGCTAAATTCTACACAACTGGGTAACTCCTTGTTTGATCATTTTATCGTGTTCTTTATATACTTTATACATCATTTGTGATTTTGTATGCGATTTTAACGGAAAAAATTCTTTAAGTTGATTAATTTGATGAGATCATTTCAACGTACATGKATTTATATTTTCGGATTTGTCGAARCACCTTTAATGAAATTTAGTTTCATKAATATRATTACATCTWTTTTGTTGTTCATTTTGTATTGTCAGGAAAGCGGGCAGAAGAGGACAAATCTCTAACAAACCAACCTAACCAGCGGTAAGAGCTTTAACAAAGGTATACTTCAACTTCACTTTATCAAAACDGCACTGATGTTCTTTTTTTCTCTGATTTTCATGAAATTGCTACATAAAATAAACGATTTGACACAAAATTAGAGCCACAAATTAAGCAATTATTGCATGGACTGTTGAATAATTTATCATGTTAATTTTGTGTTAGTCTAACAAAATGATTGCAAGCCATATCACTGTGATCTTTCAGTTATTTTATTTKTGACATATATATTATATATACATATATCATTAATTTTGGCAAATATGAGGATTATTTCCAAACACGTGATAGAAAAAGATATATTTGCTCTAAAACAGGTTAGGGGTAAACGTTTTTGTTTACTCTAGTAATAAATCATTCATAGTTCATTATCAGGGTGACTGAGACAAAACACGTCTCTTACAACAAAGACAAAAATCTCATGGACAAATACCCTAATATTTCTAGATCCAAAATAAAATAATTGACCKTGTAGTGTTACCATTCAACGACTTAATTCATAAACTGATTATTTTAGGAATCAAGAAGTGACATCATTATTTGATAAATTCRAAGAGCAGAACTATTTCTTCAGGATTGTGAATATGGACAACATTTACATATTTGCTTGTATTTTAGCTCTCAGAACTGGTAAAGTCAAAATGAAGACACCTGGTCTTTCATTGCCTGTCTTGGTTTTCCTTCTTTGTCATATTTTAACAATTCACGGAAGGGTAAGTTACATCATTAGGTCATCAGTAGCTATTTGTTAGTGCGATGACGGTGACGCCCTCCTCATTGAAAACTAAACCATTGTTTAGGGTAAAGATATTTAAGAAATATTTGTAATACTGCGCACGCGCTGATTGACTAGAGGTGTGTTYAATGTCCCGGATCTATTAGAGACTATTTCGATTGCTCGCTTTATTTTAAAGTGCAACTGGACGATCATTTTTTTTTWAATTTAGGGATAATCTATCCTAAAATAGTAATTTGCCACAAAATTATTTTGAATTGGATGAATTCCCAATATTTATCGTTATATTGAATTTCCCGCCAGTTTGGAAAAATGCGCTCTCTTTAAAATCAGGGGTCTTGTGMGAATGACGTCTAGTAAGGAAGCGTCTCATATTTCGGAGACTTTTAAAGTAAATGGTGGAGATTCGAAGTTATTCATTCCTGTTATAAACGCCTTTGAATTATAAGCCAACTTACACAATTCTTAATTGAAATATTAAGCGATGTGAGAACTTTGGCTGCTCAGCTAGTAGATTTCATACTAGTCTCGACTCAGGCCACTATGATTGTTCGCGGCCATTTGGAAATTATTGAAAATTTCATAACTTTAACAGTTTAACAAAGAGAAAACGAGCTTTCAACCGTCTTCCATGAAGTCACAAAAAATAGTTTATTTTTCGATGGTGGTTTTCCTCATCTTTGGAAAAATTGAGTTCAGTTGCACTTTAATGTGGAATGGGTAAAATACACAAACAATTTGCACGTCGTGATAGAAGCATAATGAATTTTTTKGGGGTTTTCCATTCTGTCCCTAAAACTTTTGCTTTCTGTTAATGTAGTATTTGAAGCAATCGATACAATTAATCCTAATAAAAAGAGACTGCGTCTCTATATGTCTTGGGAGGAACCATGMATCGATCACTTGGAATGTCATCTAATCAATTTCATAACAATGACAAAGGAATTTTAACGTTGAATACTTGGTTGAAGTATAGAATGCCGCGTAGTATGAGTAGCCAATAATAAAATTATGTAAGAGACGGTGTATGAATGTATAGTGCAATATAAAGTATAATTCACAAAAAATGAAAACTTCTAAAAGTTCTTCTAAAGATCTTCAATGTCAAAACCTGTTTCTGTTATTATTTATGCATACATGCATCACTTTTCATTATCTTTTGAATAACACAGAGCATTAAGAAGGCACACGGCAAAACGCATGACAAAGAAAAAGGTATACAACATTGTCTATATTRCTTCTTTACATATTTGGCCAATATTTTCCTTTCCATATGTTTTGACAGATAACGCAAATTTCTGTGATGGCAAAGACGATGGGGTATATGCAGACCCAAGCGATTGCAGCTCATATTACGAATGCAAAGACGGCGAGACATCTAAAAAGACTTGTGACAAAGGTCAATTGTTCAATGAGGCCATAGGGAAGTGCGACGACGAAAATAATGTCAATTGTCCA